CAAAATGCAAAAAATATAAAACAACATTCAGAAAGAAAATGGGTATTCAACTTGATATTATATTATCAAAACAACTAAATAAAAAACCTATATATGAAAATTATCATATTCCCTATTTAGCAAATGAATTGCAAGAGTATAACGATATAGTGACAAAATGGATAGTATGTGATTTGCAACCCTTTACTGTCATTGAATGCAAAAAATAGTGTGATATGATAAAAAAAGTTGATCCATGTTATTATTTCTATAATTGCTATGCAGAAAAGGATCATATTGTAGCTCTATTTGAAGATAAAAAAGAACAAATAAAGTTAACACTCTCACAAGTTCCTGAAAAAATATTGTTCATCTCTAACATATGGACTGCATCAAATAGTGCTGTATTCCTTAGTTTAACAATCCATTACGTTAATTCTTTTTGAAAACTAATTAGTTTTCTCTTAGATATTATCTCAATAGAAATGCGTCATATGGGGTTCAATATGGCTAATGCCATATTGAATACCCTTTATGAATTTAACCTAGAAAAAAAAGCTTTAGCTCTTACTACTGATAATGCTTCGTTAATGATCATTTGTGGCAAAATAATAACGAAAGAGTTTGAATGTGAATTTGATGATCTTGGATTTTTGCATTATAGATACGTAGCTCATATTTTGAATCTCATAGTTAATAAAGGGTTTGAACATGTAGACAAATCAATTACAAAAATAAGAGTATTGATATCATATATTAAATCGTCCAAACCGACAAACAATGCTTTGAAGGAATTTTGTAAAATAAAAGATATTACCTATTTAATACCTAGAATTGATATTAAAATAAGGTGAAATTTTACCTACTATATGCTTAGTAGATAGAAAAAGTTAGAATCTGCACTTAATTTACTTGTAGCTGATTATCAAATAGTCAGAAATAAATATTTGAATGCAAAAAACCTTCATAATATTAATGTAAGTATGATTTTTATTTTTATTTTTTTTAAAACATATATACTATTTTTTTTTTTTTAAACAAAAGAATACAATTATTCTTCTTGACCATTAATATTCAAAAAAAAACAATTATTCTTCTTGAACCAATAGAATGTGCAACATGTTTTTTGTCTGCTTCAAGCTACCCAACACATGGTGATGTTCAAATTGTTATTCATAGCATTTGGGAACATTTAACATGGTACAAAAATAATATTAACTTCTCAAAAGCTCAAATGGCCAATGCAATATATCAGAAACTGGAAAGCTATTGGTCAATACTTGATGAATCATTGCAAATCTTGGCATTTCTTGATCCACAGGTAAAAATATCTGCATTTAAAACCGAATATGAAAAAGATAGAATAATTAATTTAGTTTCAGGATTAAATGACGGTCTTTGGACCAAGACCGGACTAAAAAATACTATTGGACCGGTCTTATTAGGACCGGACCGGACCTGACTGATCCATCCCTACTCTGCATCTTCTGGCGGTTATCATCCACCACAAGGTGGATATTATCCTCCGCAAAAAGGTGGATATTCTAAACAGACTGGATATTCACAACCTACTTATTCACAACCAAACGCGTACCCGAATATGCAAGGGAGTTATCCTTATCCACGACAAAATCTTGGTTATCAAGGCTACCCACCAACTACACCACCACCGAACTAACAAAGCTTTCCATCAATTACACCTCCACCAAATCAACAAAGCTTCCCACCAAATACGTTGTCTGTAAACCAACAACATGCAAATCCACAGAAACCACAATCTAATGAAAAACCAAAGAGCAAACACGGACTTTTAAACTTTAAAAAATTTTAAATAATTTGGCGATTTATTTATATAAAATTAATTTCATAAATTAGATTTGGGTAATCAATTGTGTCGAGGGTTTATTTATTTTTTCTAAATCATTGGGATTCTGGTTAAATTTTAATTATTCATGTAATTGACTAATAATAACAATTTTAAAAATCCTTTCTTGGTACTAATTCTATAAAACCATTCTATAAATAAATTTAAATATATTCAAAATTTTAGAGTTTAAAACTTGAATCAGATTTATAATACAAATAAACACACACTAAGCTTAAAGCAGCAGGTACTAATCTAAGTTGAACAACAAAATAAACCCATAGGGTAGCGAGTGAAGGACATCGACGCATTACTCCATAATAATTTGCCTTATTAATAACCCAAATCAAATGACAACCACAAAGAATTGAACCTAAAAACATAACAAACTGTATCCAAGTTTTGTTAACGTTTTTGTTTGTATAATAGACAAAAAACCAGAGAACTAATGAAGTGAAAAAAAAAGTATTTAGTTAAACCATATATTCATAACTGAATTTAAATTTTTATAATTACGTCGACATAATGACTCTAAATCATAGATAATATGTCACGTCAATAATATTTGTTGACAAATACACCTACTTGGGGAAATCTTTATAACTCTGGTACTAAACGGAATAAATGTAACATCTTCGTTATATTGTTTGTGAACTAAAATGTCCATCATACTATAAACCGCACAAAGCGGAATAGTATATAGAAAGGCTTGAAAAGTAAAACCATAGTTATTTGGATCGTCTTCATCACTTTGTCCACTACGTTCTCTTTCTGCTTCTTTAAAGTTATTTAATAGTCCTGTTGCTTCTATTAAACGAAGTTTTTCCTCCTCGGGAATGTCATCAATCACTTCATTTTGAGGTTTGTCTTTTTTACGTTTTTGAACCATTTTTTTGTTTCCTTGATCAAGGGACACACAAATTTAATAGATTCTTACAACCTAACTGGGTCAGCTTTGTGAAATATTTTTCTTTTTTTAAAAAAAAAGAGGTGATTTGTTATAAAGCTTAAAAATATTTTTTTTTCGTTATGGCTAGATCTGTGTTTAATTAATTTTAATGCAGACTTTTCCAAATTTGGTGAATGAGATAATTATATTTTATCTAATTAATTTAGGGTTAGGGTCATCTTAGGTTAGGTTAGGTTGAGGTTAGAAAGATATACAGCAAAATCGCCTTTTTATTATATATTTTTTTATTAATGCTTCAAGACTGGTTCAAATTGTATTTTTACATATTTTTCTTATTTTTCTTCGTGAGATTCTACTTGAACAGTCACATTCTGATCAATAGTCAAGATACCTTGACAACTAGCTATTGTATCTAAAATTGCTGATTTTTTTTATATAATCACATGATTAAAAAGTTTTCGTTAATTTTAAATAGGTAGTTGTCGAGATATCTTCGAGTTTAGAAAAACTATCAAGACAGAAACTGTGAGAGTTTTTTTTTTCTAAATTTTTAGTGAAAATATTTCGACCAATTTGAAAATTTTTTATTTCGATTTAACTGTACGTACAGTACGTATAATCAAGATATTTGATCCTATTTTTTTCTTTAGATTTATGACTATAAAACAAAAAAAAATTTATTTTGAATATATAGATATCATCAGGATTAGAGATCTGATTCAATGAATAGTATATTCGAATATTCACTAAATACTCGAATATAATTGTTTCACTAAATTGAATATTCGAACTCTTATATTTCAGGTAATTTGCATAAGTTTCGATTTGGTATATTTTAATTTAATTTTACTACGTATTACACTTAATCTCGCTATTTGATTGGTTAACATCGCTTTTTTGTTAATCCAAATAATTTCTAAATAAATTTTTGCAATTTTGACAGTTCCCAAATCCGATAGGCACGGTGGACAGCTTTTGTATCGGTTAGCTTGTTGGTCACGTGATTATAAATCAATATAATTGGCTAGATTATATTTATTATGTATCTACTTGGTACACAAAGCTCGATCTGAGCCAATCAAATTGATTTATATTACTCGACAAACCCGATATCTTATATCGGTTATCAGAAATGGGAGATTATCGGGCTTGAACAGACATGGTGGATCAATTTTTTATCGGGTATAACAGGTTATATATGGGCTAGGTGCCGAAAATGACAAAAAAAATAAAAAAAATGATCTTCGGAAAATCAATTTTTTATATTATAAATTTTATAATAAATCATAAGAAAATATAAACTTTAAAGAGCTATACTGCAAAATTTTATTAATACAACTACTTTTGTATCTTAAGTGAAAAATGATCCTCTAAATTAATTTATGTAAAAAAATCTCTTGAAAAAATTGTTCTTTTTCCAGCACCTAGCCCATAAATATTTCGGTTAACCTGATTTCACCCAAGTGACTTTCACCAACGGATAATCCTGGTGAAGATTTTTTAGAAGGGTCGAGCAAGTATTTTTCGTATTCATGCGTATATACAAAAATAACATGCTGTTGTACAAACTAACTAGATTTTGAATGTACATCCTTTTTGTAATAATTCGCTCGGTATAAACGCAACTTCAATTTGATCATAAGGAGAAAATAATCCTTTGACAAGAGATCTTATGCTATTCGGAAATTCATTATATTTGGTAATTTGTCTCATGTTAATGAATAAAATTTTTCAAAATATTGCCTAGTTTTCCATAACAACAAATGTTACTGATTTCTTATATCAATCCAAAGCCCCCCACAAATACAAGATCTCGTGTAGCTTTTTGCCCATCGTGTGTTTTGTACCTCGCGTATTGCAGAATAATGCCCACACCTTATAAAATTAAATTGAATGGTTAATATTTAGAAGTGAAATTTGATAAAATGTAAGATTTTATGTTTACTACCGTGAACAAGCCCGATCCCTAATAGTACGCGACTTGAGAATGATATCGAAAGATACGGATTCAATCCATTTTGTATCATATCGGTATAGTTTAACTTTATTGACAGTACTAAAAGAATTTTTGAAAATTTGCTCAATCTTCGTTAGAGAGTCGTGTAAGGACACAGGCAAAACAGAACGAATAATAAGCCGGTATTTTTCATTATCGGATATTCCTAAGTTTAAATGTGACAAGTTTGTTGGATTACTTTAATGATAAAAGATACTTGTAACATCTGGTATTTATAAATACCTAATATGTCTTCAATAATCCGACTAGATTCATTAATGAATACTTCTAATAAATCCAGTTTTAATGGCCATTTATCGAAAGAATATTTTAATGATCGGTGCATTATTTTATTCTTTGGATCCGCTGGGTTAGATGTATTAAGTTTAGTAATGTACTTTTCAAATTGACCGACATATAAAATTAAGCTCTTCAAGGCAGATCGGCTTATAGAGTGATAAAGGAGGACAATATGAGACTTTTCGTTAACTAAGAAAAAAATTATTTTGATGTATAAAAATGTGATATTTTAACAACTTTGAAAATTAAAGTTAAAAAAGATACCACCACTCAATTTACCTAAAACATGACCTTGACTCTTAGTGTAGTATAATAAATAAATATTTCGTATGAGGTATGCAAAGAAATCCAAGATCCATGATGTTAGAGATACGAGAGATTGGAGAGAATCTACGTGAGAGTTAGGTTTCGCCACCCAGGTTGATATTAATAAAATTAAAAAAAGCCAGGAAAAACCTACCTGACGTAAAAGTCCCATCCGAAGATATACTATTTCGAAAAGTAATTTCTAAAGCACGCAGATGCATAATGCATAAAGTATTCAAACATGTAATATTATCACTCCCGCAAGATTTTAATAGTGAAAGCTGTAATCCGAAAAGCCTAATCAAAAAATCAGAGGACGTAGTTGATTCAAATCCATTCGGAAAAATGCTCGAAATATTGGTAAAAATCCCAGCTAATACAAGATCTAATGAGTCTATAAATCCATATAAATCATAATGTCTCAAGTACAAGTGGTAAGTCGTTTTACACATTTTATATACTATACTGCTACTCTT